GGGCCCCAAAACTTATAATGTACCTGTAGGTGAAAAATTTGTAAAGTGCCCCACACATACACATTCTCACACACACATAATCACACACTTTCTTGCACATGCCCACACACAAATTATATTTATTTGTTTGTTTGTTTGTTTGTTTTATGAGGTCCACCCAGCCTCAATACCTTTGCCTGGTATCCTATCCCCAGTGGCCAGTGGGGAACTGTGCTTTGCCTGCACAGCTCCCTTGTGTGCCCAGTATGAACTCTGGGCCAAGAGTGGCAAAGACTTCCAGCATCATTATCGGGTGTGTTAGGGAGGTGTGCAGAAAGAGCACAAAAATATTACAGCTCCCTCTCCACCCCTTGACCTGGATTATTTGGGCAGAGTAGGCAACTTCCACATCGGTAGAATTCTGCTTAATCTGCCTTGCTCAAAGTACCAAGCCTGTGAACCTTAACCTTCTTGTCAAATAAAAATATTCTCTGACACAGTATGAAATATTATGCTTCTGCAACTCTACTGTAATGACAAGCAAAATAAATGAATATATATAAATATACATATAAGAATATATATGTTCATTGTCTATGGTTATTTGAGTATCTTGTACAGCATTCTTGGAGTTATCCACACACATACACCTTCTTTACAGTCAGTCTATTATAGGCTAATAATGTAAAAAGGGAAGGTTCACCTCCAGTCTTTTCATTGATGCCATCTGCTCTTTGAGATCGCTCACTAAATTTTCAATTTTCATTTTTTGTTCCTTAACTTTAACTCCAAGAGTTGAAAGTCTGGTCCGGAGCAGTTGCCCGACTTCTGCAAAGTTTCTGAAAGCAACTAATGTAAAATAATAAAACAATGATTCATGGCATCATATAATTTAAAGTGCATGAACATTACTGGATGTAATTGTGGTTGGCAGTGGTTGCATGAATATTATTGTGGCCCTCTTCCACATACATATTATACTTATCATACCTACCATAAAACATGGCCAGCAAGCAGTTTGTGTTGTCTATCACGAAGGACAATACCCCATATCCCACATCGGTTTTAGGAGTATTACTAAAAGCTCAGGAATTTGCCTACCAGATTGCAGGGAAGAAAGGTGTGGACGAAACATAGTTGTCAAGTAAGAAAAACATGGAAGTTACAGCAACATCGAGATTCTAAGAAACTCAAAATAAACATTGCCAATACAATTGTAGCCACACATGAACATATAGCCACAGAAAAAGGACCACACAGAGCAACTTAGTACATTTGTACACCTACACTAAGTAAAACACAAATGCAAGAAGACAGATTTATTTCCAGCTACACACTAAAACACATAATTACTTACAGTCACACAGTAAAAGACACATACTCTTTTACAGCTTCATAGGAAAACACAAACTTTCTTAGGAATGGCCTAGAAGTGCATGACAAGCACCGCAATTTGCATCACTGGCAACTTCCAAAATGGGTGATCCTCCCTCGAAATGCTGAAGGCCCATTCACATAACGTATATATTAGCCTTGCATGAATGTTTAACATAACTGCACAGAAACCACTATCTGCACATTCAGCACAGTGTGAGCTTGTCTAAAGATGTGCTTGCACTTTGCTGGCTGGGGACAGTTCCCTGGTGTCCATGGATGTGGGACACCATGGAACAAAATCAGATAAGCTATATCCTAGCAAGTCCTTCCTGTTACTGTTCAGCATCACTAGGGCTAAAAGGTTAACAGTTCCGATATGAGAGGGAGGGGTTAGGTGGGAGTGTGGCCAGCAAGGGAGGTTGTCAATAACTCAATTAGAATCATGGACGGGCCACTAATGGGATCCTGTTATGACTTACCTCACGCTCTGCTCCTGCGCTGCATTGGTCTTACAGAAGTAGGTGTTACACTTCTGTAACACCCACCTCTCATCTGCCCTGGCAACTCCTGCTCTCTTCATTGATTTACCTGCCTGGGAACACATCTCCAAGCAGGACAACCTTGTCAGTCACTCTGTTAATATACTGCCTAGCCAGCGCAAGCAGCGTCATGTAAGGAGTTTTCCTAGCAACCACATCATATGCAATGTTATTGCTACGGATGGAGAGCTGAAGGACCATGTGTCAGAGGTCTCTTTTGCTCTCCTTGTCAATTAATTCTTTGGCATAACATCTATGTTGAAGAACTGATTGACAGCTGGGTGTAAGACCTATTTGAAAATAGATTTTTCTCCCAATCTATACATTTTGCCAGTTAAACTGCTAGCACAATGAATGGATAAAAGTGTATGTGCTTTAGGTTCCCTTTAAGGATGTGTTAACCCAACAGAACAACCAAGAAGTGATGACATGGAAAAATGATATAACTTAGCTAAAAGTAAACTTGAGTATTTTTTTCAGCCAAGAACTTTGCAGTTTGGATTAATTCTTTAAAATTTAGTGTTTATTGAAAACATTTCAGCAGGACTGCAACAGAGTATGTAGTTACCCTAATAAAGAGGTGTGAGATGTGACTATGTAGCACTGGGAATAAAGAGTAGGATCTCACAAGAGTGTGTCATACAACCGGGAATGTGGAGTAGGAAATAACCAGAATGTAGTAGCACTGAGAATTGGGAGTTTTGCCTTACTATATAGTATGTAGTAGCTGTAAGAAGAAAGATTTGGTTTTCACTGGAGTGTGTAGTCGTGCTGGGGATGAGACTGAGACATTGCTGCTTCTACTTGGTCTGAGAAGTGTCCAGTTTGTACAAATAGGCATAGATAATGCTAGGCAGAATGCGGACAGCATGCAATGTTTTCTGTTGGCTGTATTCTATTATGAGTTAGTTCAAGAAGCAATATGTCTGATTTATATTTTTACCTTAAATGCATTACTCTCCATAAAGTGTGATGCCACATTTCTGTTATGATTGTTGTGATATTTAGAATCCATAGGCCATTACTAAAGTTTAATACTATATCTTTACTCCAGATAAATCAGATTCCCACTAGGATGTGAGTAGTCATTTTATCTTTAAGTGTCACTGTAAATGGTTCATGACTTGCAGGGCTATCACTAAACCCTCAAGTGTGAAGAATTGACAGCTGATTTGCAATGTTTGCCCTAAAATAGTTGAATTTGAACAAGTTAGCTAATTTGGTTTATACCTTGTGATTTCATGGTAAATTCTCCCACTTGTCATTGATCCTTTACTATGTGTTTTTCAACTGTTTTATGTGCTTTTGACTTTATAGATTATCTGTATGTGGGAAGGTGGGCAGTAGCTTGGTCTCGTTAATTACCAGGAGAAAATATTTACTATTTAAATTTTCCAAATGTTTATTTTTTCTGCATGTTAACTTTGCGATGTGAATGCATCTACACAATATTGTGTTAATAAACCTCTTAACAGATACTTTTAAAATTGTGATGTATAATTTTACTTTTTTTTTTTTTTTTAAATGTGGGCTCATCTAGATTAGCTGTAGTAAAATGATTGAATTAAATCAAATAAAAATGTTGCATTTTGCTGCTACGTTTCCTAGTTGTGAAACAGTGAATACCACATTCTAGAAATCAAGCGGAGGATGAGTCAACAATATCCATTCAAAGAAAAGATAAACTAACTTTCGTGTGTGCAGCTAATTTAAAGCTACCATACTTCTTTTTAACACAAACCTTATACTAAAATAATATCTGCTGTGTGAGTGTCCTTGACTCAACTATACTTGCCTTGTTCATTAAGCATGTTTTCTTCAATGGCATCATGCAGTTGTTTTATTCCAGGAATGGATGATAAATAGATGGCGTTACTTGTCAGGCAAGATTGCTTTGTTTTGTCCACTCGACTCATGATTTCTTTTCCCAATTTGGTAATCAGTCCTTGCACCCTACACCCAGATGGGCACCTGATGACCTGCCAACAAGCAGAGCTTTTGTCACTTAAATATCATGGGCTATGGAAAAGTGATTAAAGGTGATGGTGAAATACCCAAGATGCAATAGACCTGTAGATTGTTTATGCAAATCATGCAGAATTTGTATTTATTTGTGTGATATATATATAAAAAAAAATTGAACTTAAGTCAGTTTAACTATAACGGGGTCTCATTTTGATCAGTTTATTTACTTTAACCTGCCCATAAAGGAGGAATGATGTACAAAGAAATATGGTGATGTGAGCAGTTGTGATATAGATACGTAATTTGTCATTGAAGTTTGTGGAGTAGTAGGGCAGGCATACCATTTCACACTGCCATATTGTTTCAGGGTCCAGTTCAAACACAAATGAGAGTTCATTTTATATAGGATCAATATTTAATTTGACTTTATAGCTCTTTAATGTAAAAGGGAGTGCAATGCTGGCAGAGGTGCATGCAAAGTGTTAAATAATATTTCACCTGACTTGTAAAGTTTATTTAACCCACATATGGTATTTAATACCTGTATAGCTTTACCAGTAATTCTTTTATGCCTTGCATATCCATTCTATCCAATTTATATATGCATCACTGTCACCCCACCCCCTGAAGTATTAGTATTTCATAAAGAAATACTCATTTTGACTGTGTTGGAATTTCAGTGAAATTCCAACCCAGTCAAGAGATATACTAAGACAAAGTAGGGACTAGTTTGTCTCAGTATTTTTCCTACACCTGACACTTCAAGACTGAAACACCAGGAACTAAAGAGGGCCCACCAGGAGAAAATAGCAGTACCCTCGATGTACAGGTTCATCTAAGTAGAATTTACCTCAGTCACCAGACCCCCAGTATCGATGTTCCCATCGGGGGTCTGTGCAAATTCTAGTCCAGATAGTGACAGTTTAGTCCCCTGCATTTTGTCTAAAATGTTTTCTAAGACCCCAATATTTTACTAATGTCTAGAACAAAAACACAACATACACAGTAAATAAGATTCAAATAAGTTTTTTTAACTTTTCTTTTCTGGTACAGTCAATATTAAACATTAAGTCAGAAATAAAAAAACATAAACACATAATAAAATATTTTGAGGGGAGTGTGGGATTGTAAAGTAAAATATTATTCAGTGGTTTCTGATGGCCGAATTTTCATTCTGACCGTTTTAAGGGAGTAATCTGCTGTTTTAAAGGGTATCCATACAACCCCATTTTCTATCTCATATGGAACATTATTACGTGGATCATAATGTCCTCCAAAGTAATAAATCCCATTAAGGTTTGCAGCTTGGCAGTTGTTATGCCACCAGCCCCCGCCATACATTTCTGCACAATTCTCCTCCCACTTATCACTGTCCCTATCAAATGTACTAAACTTCATGCCATTGTGAGAGGTGTGCTCCCCATCATCCTTGGACCCCTCTATGAGAGCATCTCCTGCACTGCCACCATACTCAGAGACTCTAAGAACATAACCATCAGACTCAGACCCCAGGTGAAAATTATATTCAGCGTACACCTTCTCCCCAGACCAGTCCTCTAGTTCAATTCGAAGAACGGAGTTCTTCTGAGTCAGTAAGTGGATGAATTCATTGCCCATGTAGAAGTCTCCTTTTCCATTTCCATCCACACTGCCAAATCCATTCTTGTAGTCTTCCCATGTCCTATTAAAATTCACGGATCCATCTTCTCTTTGCTGAATCAAAAGCCATCCTCCCAACTCTGTGTCTTGGTCACAATATACTGAAAGTACTTTATTGGATCCTTCTGGCCTGATTTTGAAGATGCCACTTTTGGCACCAGAACTGTGTTTTTGGCGGATATCATCACAGTCTAAAAAGAAATGCAGTTTTATCTGGTTTACAATTATTATCATGCATAATAAAGGTTACCAGGACTGTCAAAGTATTTTGAATTATTATGTTTAATCTACATTATATAACAAGAAAGAATTGGGATTGGAATATAAAATCACTAGTGGTGCAAAAAGATCTTACTACTTGTTAAAGGAAATATTAGATTTGTACTATAAATGTGTTTGTCCAGGTGTAATAATACACTAATCCCTCATATATTCAAATGATTTCTGTGCCCCTCAAATTTTAACACAATTTGTATCGCGTTAACAATCTTTTTAATCTTTTCATACTTGTAAGTATGATTTGGTGTTGAGATCTATTTAATAATGGCAAATGCCTAGTTTGGGCATAACTCTAAGTCACCAAGTTGATATTCCTAATAACTGCTGTTAATAAATCACATTTATTAGCCGTGATTTTATGATATGTAACAATAACAAATATAGCTATACTTTTCTTTGCACCAATTATGGCACTATTTGTTTGGGGCTCTAAATATATACTATATATGTTGCTTCTCATATGGGGATCTAATTTAGCTATCTCCCCTCAACCCCCTTTGAAAGCATCTTGATGGAGTAGTTCCGTAGGATCAAATTAGTGAATTATGTGTTGAGGTTTTTTGGTTTTTTTTAACTTAATGTTGGATCCTTCTCTATCATTTTCATTTACCTGTCCCAGTATAACTGGTAACCACCTTTACTTGTTTTCTCACACTGCGAGCCTGTAAATCAGGTGTGTCTTCTCCACTGATATCTTGTTGGAGAGGCCCATGATCTTCAAAAACTTGTTTACTCTTGTATTTTGTATCCCACTGGGAGCCACCAACATCACTGCCGGAAACTACAGTCTTGGTAAATGAGGTTTGACTTTTCAGTGGTGTAAAGCTAGGAGTACCATGGAACGTATGGAAATCATCAATCTCATCCTCTCCCAGATCAGAGAAACCATCAACTATTTTAGAACTACTTGTTTTGGTGATTGTACCACCACTTACACCACTGCTACTGCTGTAATGGGTTTGTGTGTTAACTCCAGCTGAACTAATAAATTCTTCTAAGCTTGGAATCTTGCTGACACCTCCTGATCCAGAAATTTTAACATTGTAAGTGCCATCAGGCAGGACCTCTCCCTTAGCTTCAGTTTTACGTTTTGATAAACTTTCACACTCTGGTCCACCACTGAAAGATTCAAATATTTCTTCTCTTGGTCCAGAAGGCCCCTGTACTGTTTTCTTTGTAATGGTTTTAGTGCATGAAATAACATGTGTGCTTTCTGACCCTGAAATAGTACCTTTGTCCCCTCCCTGAATTACTTGTTTTGAAGTTGGCAAAGAAACCGCTTTGCCAGAGACACTAGTGTAGGTAGTAGATGAAGATTCTTCTCCTGTTACCTGTTTAGGTTTCCCTTCTAATACAAATGTGAACTGATCAATATCAGTGAATATTTTGAACTGATCTTCTTGGTCTTTCATTTGAGCTTGTGTTTTGTAACGTGGGTCTACAAGAGAGTCTTTTATTGGCCTCATTTTCAGCACTCTCAATGTATTGGTCTCAATTCTAAGGTCAGTGCCTTCAGCTTGCAATAATTGTTTTTGGATGTTATCATAACTGTCATAGTCTACATGGTATTCAACAGACTTTGCACAAGATCCCTTGCAGGAACGAAGCTTGATATCAATATCCACCTGTTTAAAAACAAAAACAAAAAACAGGAAAAGGTGTGTCAGTTATCCAAAATATATGGGGAGTACTTTAAGATAATAGCATAAGAAATATAAAGATAATTATTGTGAAACCATAGATTACCTCAAGCCGCTTCATTTCTACAACCTGGTCCCTGACGCTTCTTTGCAGTGCTTTGATCCTTTCTACTTGATTAACAACTTTTTTCTTTAAAAATTCAATCTTATTTCTGAGGTTCTCAGATACTTCGTTGTATTTTCCATCACTCTCTAAAAATACACAAAATGAAAATGGGGTTAAAACAATGCTATGAAAAAATACTGTATTGCAAATTTAACTACCTATACAATGTTCCTCTTAAAAAATCATATTGTGTTAAGATGTTGGCAACGCCACACCTGGAATAAAAATGCTCACTACTTTATGCCCAATGATTGGGCCTGAGAAAGGAAAACAATATTAAGAGCAGGACTGAGTGTTTGCAGTCAGTCCTATCATTGTTTTTAACGGAAAGGTGTAGCACTCCAATCACTGCTTGTCCAGCATGAGGATGGCTGCAGTACAGGTTCTTTTACAGAAAACTAAACAGAAAACAAAATTCTTTGACTAACACAAGCCATGTATGCACATGTCATTCAACCTGTGCTTCATTCCTATGACCTCATGGCTTGGGTGATTGGGCAGGCAGCTCCAGATATTTTCCAGATTACATTAGCTGTAATGAACTGCATTAATGAGTTTGTGAAAAAAAAGTGATTATAATTCTGTGAGTGTCCCATTCATGGCAATTCTAACACAATTAAAATTGTATTTTACCACGACTTAAGTTCCTAGACCAGTGCACGAGGAATTTATCAACCATTGCAGACAGTATATCAACATGGTAACACAGGACGTGACATGGTGATAAGGATTTGTCACCCTGCCAGTCAGGAGAGACTGAAAGATCTAAACCAACTTACACCCATGGTTATTGACCTGTTCACACAGAGACTGCATAATTTCTCACTACTGTAGAAACATTCTGACTTGAGTATGACATGACTTGCAAAGGTTCATGTGTAGTTCTACAAGATATGAAGATCTCCTTTCTATGGTCACCTGCATTTGAAACCCAATGAGAAAGTGCCTGATGACATGGAATATTTTGATACAAAGAAAACACAAATCTGCACCAATTGCAGAAAAGTGTTCCTTTTATGAGACCCATCATTTGCTTTTGCATTACCAATACATAGACTATTTAATATTCATCATACATTGCCTGCTCAGTTTAAATTTCAATTTACTGCATTTTTACTTACGTTGTGCTTGGAATAAGTTATCCTTTATGGAATCGTATGTTTCTTTGGTCCTCACATCAATACTCTTGTAATTGATTTCTCCATCCTTAAACTTCTGTCGGATTATGTCAAGTCTTTTGCCAAATTCTTTATCAGACTGAGTGGCTAAACCTGCAACTCTGCATCCAGAAGGACATTTGGGACCCTGCAGGAAACATCTGGTTAGCAATTTGGCTCCCAATTTATAGTACAGATATAAAATGAGAGGTATCCATAAAAACTAATTCTTTAGAAATATTCTAAATTTGGAGCAATCCGCATTGGAAACCAATAGAACGTTCCTACTAATTTCTCTACATTTAGAGCTTTGAACAATAATTGCTCTTTTAACAACATATAAAGAAGATAACTACAGTACTTTATTATCAAACAATTATGATGATCTGTAGTTATTTTAAAAGTAGTGATACATTTTCACCTACATGCTGAGATCTTGGTGTTTTCATTACCCAACTCAATAGAGCTCAGTTTACTGACTTTGAAAAGAAGAAAGGCTTAATTGACCCTGCCAGGAATAAATATCTGTTCTACCCATCTGCTATCTGTGCTGTAGCGTGGGTTAATTTTATGGTCTCTCACAAATCTTGTATTCACAGTTGATTGAAATAGAGTTTGGAATTTGAAGGCTGATCTTGTAATTTTCAGATAGCATCGACACAGGTTGTTTTTTTTTCATGTGCCATTTGGTCATTGGTTTATGTCTGATAACTTAATGTATTAGCCCATTTCACCCATAATCACAAATTGTATTACTTTACTCTCAGAACATCCAGTTCTTCCAGTTTTTTTATTCCTAAGAGAAACATAGCCATGTACACACACATAATGTCAATCCATGGCTTGCCAGTCTGTTAGGTGGACTTTTGTTCTAAAGCTCTTATTTTGGGATATATTTATGAAGCCCATTGTTAATTCAATACATATCAGTATTCTGTGAGTAGTAAATTGCAAATTAGGGAAATATAGATTGTTAAAGGGAAATCCCAGTTTAAATATAAATATTTATATAACGTATACTACATAAGATATATGCAAATACAGTAAAGCACACATAATAAAAATAGAAAAAGTCCCAGATTATTTTTTTAAACTATTGGTTGTGTAAAATTTGCAATGAGCTCTCACCAAACCATGAAATACTTGATGCTTACTATAATTATTTCTATAGCATTGCTTAACATCAATGGCATAAGACGGAGTGTGGGCAGTCTTTCATAATAATCCCAGTTCCATTTAGGGAGCATACATTAAAACGGGCAGTTTTCCACAGGAAAAAATATATATTATCACTATGGAGACTAATAGTAGAGCTTTCTGAACATATGTTTTGTTTTTCCTACCTTTCCTAAACAGGAAAACATATGATCTTAAAATCTACATCAGATTTTCAGGGCGAGGCTAATTCATCCCCCCCATCATGCCCGGGCATCCATCTATTCTTAGCATTTACCCTTTATCTCACATCAAGTTTATTAAGGATTGCAGTTCAATTGTCAGCTTTCTGCTGTAGAGGCCTAACAGCTAAACAAAAATTTAGGGTCAAAACTGGAAAAATTCTTTAAGTCCACTATGGTTTCAGTTTGGATACTTTAACCTTAGATTTGAATCAGCTTGAAATCCCAACAATTCTCACTTTAGTAAATAACTCTGTAACAGTCATCTAATCTAAAACGTAAATCTTACATCTGTGGGTCTAGCAGGAGTACCCCTTTAAGAATTTATCATTGTCTGTTTTTTTAAACACACTTGGACTGATGGTATTCTTCCAGGTCTGGCTTGAAGACCAATATAAGAGTTAATGATTGGCTGCCACACATACAGGGCTATCTACTAAAGTGAGAATTCAAGGTGAAATCAAAATGAAAAATTCAAGGTCAAAAGAGTCAGCAAGAACTAATCTCTAAGTCAGCTATACTTTCAGTTCAGCTACTCAAACCTTAAATTTGAAGTTATCTTTGAAATCACTTTAGTATAATGTGTGACTGCATTTCATTTACTCTGTTTGCACAGTGAATACAGCGAGTATGTATGTAGAGCAAAAAGTTATAATGTTCATATTGGCAGATGGTATTTTTTAATTTTAATAAGTCAAACTTTATTCCTTTTATTAGTGATAACCCTAAAAAGCTAGTGGATGATTTACATTATGACTGAATAATAAAAATTTATGAATAAGTATGAATACATTTCTTAATAAATAAGAATAAAAAGTAATATGAAATGCTCCTTTTAAGGAAAAAAGAGGGATTCTTCAGTATTCACATACATAAATAGTGAAAAAAGTAATGTATTAAGAGTGGGCCCCGATAGACCTTTTTTATAGCATGGCATGTGAGGCCCTAAATGCTTATGTTCACTATAAAAGCAATGGTCAGCTTTTATTGTGAACATTTGGGGCCTCGCTGGAACATATTATGCTCCAATGTGTATTGACATGAATATAATATTTTAGGCCTTCCCAATAGGAAAACATTGCCTCAGTGGGGAATTCTAGACACTGTGTGCTCTCATGCACAGCAGTGTTAACCCTGCAATATTTTAAATTGTAGGATTCAGGGATGAGTGACACAGCACCTGAGATGAAGTTGTCTGGGTGCCTACCGTAACGCTTTAAGGAAAAGTCAGCTAGGAATTTTGGTCAAAATAAATTAGACAAAAACTGAGAAAAAAAAATCTTCAGCATCTTCAGAAGTTTTTTAGACTTCTTTTGCTAAATTTATAATAATTGTATGATTTTTATCATGGCATCTTATCTAAATTATGAAAGTCAACAAATTAAGTTTAAACGTGATACTGTCAACATTTCAACTTTTTTAATGAGTATTCTTGTACTAAAGTTTTCTTACCCAGTCTTCATCAGCACATATTGGCCAGTTCTTATCCTGCTTACAGTCTGATGCGGCTTTAGGTTCCATTATTCTGGGACCTCGGATGCCTCCTCCTTCCTCTTCAAAAGTTTCTGACTTTCAACATAAAAAGAAAATTAATATTAGGCACATATCACATGCAGCAGCAGCTTAATGGAAAATATATAACATGGAGTGGGTTGCTCTTGAAGCTAACAATATTAAAGAGGCTCCAACAGGAGCAAAAAACAGGGCTCATTCACTAAACAGCGATTTCTGGTAAATTTCAAAATTAATTTGATAATTTCAAACACAATAGCCAAGCTCAAAATCTAAATTGCCACATTTTATCAGCAAAGCTCTGTTGGCCTATATCCTACAAAACTAATTTTCATTTTGCATACTTCCCTGTTTAGAGAATATGTTTAAATGACATTTAACACAGCTTCAGTCATTGTGCCTTACTGTCCTTGAAAAGCTTTTATATTTCTGCAGTTTAAACTTCTGTGCACTTTATGATTTTATGGCTCAGTTTTTTTTTATCACTCCAGCATTTGTGGACTGCACATCTCTGGATGCTAGATGGCTGACTAAGATTTATGGGAAATGTAGTCCACAAGAGCTATAGTACCAAAGAGTAGCTATCATCATCATCATCATATTTTATTGTGTTGTGTCATTTCCAAGCGGATAACTAGCTCAGAATAGTAAAGAGATTTAAACAATTGTCACCTGGCTATTATTCACCAAAGCATGAATTACTGGGAATTGACAGAAAAAAATGCAATTTCATGTTAAAATATCTGAGCTGGAAAAAAGTATTTTGACTTAAAATGTACAACTCCTTGGTTAATTCCCATCAATGACTTGCCTACTGTAACATTGAATAGTTGAAATAAAGGGAAGACAGGACAAGTTATTTCACAGGGTTATTCACTAATGTGAGAATTCAAGGTGGATTCACAAATTTGAGGTCAAAATAGCCTCTAAATTCTGTAAGTGACCTATGCTTTCAGTTAAACTATTCTGGCCTTAAATTTGGAATTCACTTTGAATTTTCACTTTTGTGAAAAATCCTAATAGTTTTCTTCAACAAGAATCACTAGCTATATAATGTATATGTTGAGTAACAAAATATACTATAAATGGTGAGGGAAATGTATATGCAGAATAAGTTATTACATAAATAAATGCACACTCAAATCTAATAATAATAATACAAATAAAATAAAAATATAAATAAAAAAATTAAAAAAGTAAAAAGAAAAGGAGACAACAGATCTACATTAGACATAAAAAGTCAAAATGTTTGGAACACTATATAAGAATATTGGCTATTGTTTGTATCATACATGATTTATTGTAAAATGGTAACACATTGTAACACTGTAATTTTAAACCTTTGCATAATAAAGAAATTTACAAAATAAATAAATAAGAATAATAATAAAATTAGTTATAATAGTATGAGGAAATTAAAGCATACCCATGCAATGCCGGTAAGGCAAAGCACCAGTGTGATTGTCGTCACCCTCAACATCTTTCCTGCTTCTCTAGTGATACAGGTATTGTGAGCTTCTGCACTTTTAAAGTCCAATCGAAAATCAGAAATCAATCATTAAATTGTGTTTGTGCACATAGCAAATATGACTTAGGTTGATGAGTCAGTGCCCTGGTCAATCTTGCTCAAGGACTGAGTAAATTTGTTTTAGGATTAGTTTTTTTTTTAGGTTACCCAATGTTCTCTCTGTTTGTAACAGAAGATAGGGAATATTGAGTTTGAAGAGGTATTATGCAAATGCAACCTCTTTTAATGTAGAAGTTATGGAAAAACAGAGACAAATTATGAAAACAGAGTAAATGAAATGTGCAACATTGTTATATGAGATTCCTAACATCACTGACACTACAGTATATAAGCAGTACAAACTATAAGAGTAAGAGGCATACGTTTCCTATATATTTATATATTCCTTGATTTTCAAGAGACATGGGTGCTCTCTCTCTCTCTTCTCTCTCTCTCTCTGAGTTATGCTATACAAGTTATCTAGAGCAATTATTTCGATTTTTATACTAATGACGGTAATAATACCGTTTCTGACAGTGATATGTTACATAAGTAGCATATCCACTGGATACAGACCACTATTCTGCCACTGTGCTTGAAGAAAATCTTTTGAATGAATAAACAGGTTCACTACTGATACATTTTCTCCAAAGTGTGCTTCTTTATTTCTCCAATAGAAAATTGGCAGCACTGATAGGTTTAACACCAATTTGTAATTTTCAGGGTGAGATTGAGAGAAGAAATGTATACCGAATTATATAGAACCCATATAGTACATAACTCAGTGTTCACAGCAGCCTTTTACATATTGAAAATAAATTAAATAAAACCTTTGAGAACCATTCAGCAATTTGAATTCAAACTTTATTACACTTACATTCTCTATTTGGAGGGACGTAATCTATCCCATGAAATGTAAAGGAGCTGGTAACCACACTTTCTGTTCCGAGGTAGTGAGTTGTGCTTAACCTTATAGATTTTAAGACTAGTGGAATGGTAGCTCCTGGTCAGGTTGTCATTGGGCGATATATAAAATATAATCCATACCACCTTTGATGCCAGGTTGGGCTGGCAAGGGTGAAGAGGGGAAATTGCCTCCTCCCAGGCCACTACCATACAGAAGCTGTGGACTGGAGCCTCTATCTTGGAATTTATGTTATCAGAGAATTGCAGGAGTTACATGAGTGAGACAGCAGGCTGGGATTCAGCAAGGCCTATGCCAATCGAGCAAAGGTCTTGTAGGTTTGTGCATCAACTCATGGCCCTCAATCTCAATGAGCTTCAGGCATGACTCACTGGGATATCTACTTGGAGACTGCTGTATCCAGGACCAAACAGCATTCCAGATTATGATGAGTATGTATGATGCCCCTGAAGGTATTTGCAAGTAACCACAGTGTGATATGTGTTATGCTAATGAGATTCATAACACAATGCAACAAAATCTTTTGAAAAAGTTCCATCATGTTATGCAAGTCATACTAATGGAAGTTGCAGAGATTTTTTATGTAACACCTTGCCACTCCAGCAGCCTCCACTCCTCAAACCCTTATATTGCATGTAAGAATGTAGGATCATTTATACCACCACTGGCGTACATACCAGGGTCGCAGGGGTCGCGGCTGCGACCGGACCCGGCCCACCAGGGGGCCCGGCCGCCCCTGCGACCTGGTATGTAGCCACAGGGCCAGCCTCTTCCCCTGGGGGGCCCAGGAGCCGACCACCCCAGGGCCCCCCAGGCTGGCCCTGCTGGCCGGTCGGGCAGGCAGGCGGGTGCGCGAGGAAGCACTGAGTGCTCCCTC